GCTCCTGCACCACCCCATTTTTGCACAGACACTCCCTGATGGCTCTGAACCCAGGGCAAGTATTCCTCCTTAGTTCCACCTCTCAGTATGTCATATGGGTTGCAGTTGTTTACTGATTACAGCAGTGGGTCTCAAACTGCAGCCCAAATAGTTACATTTATCAATTTTTAGAGTGTGCTATTTTGCTGTGGGGACTGATCCAGCTCCCACTGAAGTTTATTAGTCTTTTCACTGACTTCAGTGGGAGTTGCATCAATTTAACTTGGGTCCCTCTCATACAACTGGTTCCTCCTGGGTGGACCATAGCACCTGTATGGAACCTCATCAATGCAGTAAACAGCAGGATTGAGTCTTGCCCTTTGCTAATGGTGGCACTAGCATATATTACTACTTTTGCTGAGCCCTGAATTGTTCTATTAATCAATGGACAACAACATACAAAAACCTAAATATCCTGATTTTGCTCTGGTTACATTAATATTTTTAATTAGCTTGGATTGGGGCACAGGGTTGAATGGCTCATAAGCTGAAATTCTCTGCAAAATTTTATTCTGGAGTGGATTTCTATGACAAAGGTTTAAATTCCAGGGGGGAAAAGACTCAATAGATATGTTGACTAGAAAGGATAAAGAGGAGTGCTAGAAATAAATCCTGTGCTATATTAGTATTACAGAAATAATACAACACTAGTAAAGACTTCTCACTAATGCAGAAGGCAGTGCAGTTGTGTATATGTAACACTGGGAAAAGTAGCACTTGATTATGTTGAATTGACAGACAGCCTATTTTTGAGCTGTGAGAGGACAGTGTTTGTCAGATGGTTTCCAATGTCTACAATGCCTACTAAATCGAACCTCACAGCATCGATCTTCCGTGTAGTGTTGACATGCCCCTACTTCTGATTTGTATCAATTTAAGAAAATCATCTAATGCATCATTCAGTTTTCTAACATTTAAAAATTAAGAATCTGAATAAACAGATAATTACTTAAATGTGTGTAGATCTAGTGTATCCTGGATTGCAATTAAATATAGCCTTTGAACTAAATGTGCTGGTTTTTGCAACTCAGTATGTTTTGATGATTATCAGCCATAAGAATAAGCCTTTCTTTAGAAAAACATCAAACAGTACTAAGGCAAAATATGATTAAAACAGTTATGTAAATAAGGTTTTTTGCTTGCTGATTTAATTGGTGATTTAAATCGTTTTGACTTAAATCAATCTACCATGGAAGCTGAAGGATAAATTCAGCATTGTAGATCCAAGGGCTGTGGAACTTCAGAGCAGTTAACTGTTTCCTACTGCAAATGGATTCCAAATACAGAGCTACTCAACCTGAACTAACTGCTATCCTGCAAATTACACATTATAAGTCCGGGAGAGGCCAAAAAAGCTGGTTTCAATGGTACTATGCTCTCGTTGAAAGAAACAAGGGCCTGTTATTCTCTACAGTTACCAGAGTTTTTACAGGAAAAATTAATTTCCTTTTGAAAATTCAGAAGGTAGCAAGCTATCCTTTTCTTTCTAGACCTGCTCCTGAAATTGTGCCTCACTTTACCTGATAGACTCAGCATTTGCACTATTATAGTTCTGTAATACACTCTATTGCAGTGTTTCCCAATTGGTGCTCCGCAGAACCCTGGGGTTCCGCGGAGGAAAACAAGGGGTTCCGTGAGGAGCCGGCGCTCCTCCGCCCCCTCTGAAAAAGAGAGAGAGAGAGACGGCTAGCCAGCAGAGATGTGGGTGGCGAGTTGTGTGGGCTTGTGGTGCCCATGCTCCCGCAATATTTGGAAGTGGAGTGGGTCCCGACCCCCCCCTCCCATGCGTGCGCGTTTTCCCAGACCTGCCCCAGAACGTCTCTCCCCCGTCCCTGCTGTGCGCAACCTTCCCTGGGCTCTCCCTCGCTGGCTGCTGCTGCCCTGCGCAGCACGCTCAAACCAGTGGGTGGAGAGACGCCTGGACATGACATAATGTCACAGCCCGGGATTTTAAACTTGCTGGGCGCTGTGTTGCGCTGCATGGCTGAGTTGCAGGTTCGGAGTCCGGAGACAGAGCACAGACTCCGGCCCCACAAAGTGGAAGGCAGAAGGTACGGGAGAGGGAGGGGAAAGGAGAGGGAAGGGAAGGGGCTTGTGCAGAGGGAAAGGGGAAGGGCTGGGAGAGGAAGGTGCTTGTGCAGAGGGGAAGGGGAAGGGGAAGGCACCAAAGGGACAGGGGTGGAGGAGAGACAAACGGCAGGGGGCCAAGCGCAGACAATGAAAGAAAGTGCAGGAGGGGAGAGGTGTCAGTGGGAGGGGGACAGGGTGATGGTGGGAGGGGAGACGGTAAGGGCATTGGGGGCTAGAGGGGTGAGGGGAGGTGCTGGGAGAAGGCTTGAAAGAAGGGGTGGGCATGAGGAAGGCTGGGATGGAGCAAGTCATGCGAGAGGGCAGAGGGGCATGAGGGGAATGGGGGCAGAGGATGGTGAGGGGTGGGCATCAGGGAAAAATGGAGCAAAGGGGGCAGGGGAAGTGAGGGAAGGGGGAGGCACCAGGAGGGTGCAGGGGTAAGAGAAGGTGCAGGTTCCAGGGGATTAGCTCATATTATCAGAGTGGGGCTACTGGAGAAGTGGGCACAGGGAGGAGAGAAGGGCTGGTGGAGGGGGCAGGTTGCAGGAGGGCTGAGGACAGTGAGAAGAGCAGGAGTCAGGACAGCCAGGCACCAGGGGAGCTGACATGGCAGCAGAGGGAAAAGGTAGAGGTTTAAAAATATTTATTAATAACTTGGGTGGCACATCCAAACAATCCACATGAACTCAATACTGGTGCACAACACAAAATTCATTTTGCTCATGTAAGGAAACTCTTAGGCTATGTCTACACTGGTTGTTTCTTGTGCAAGAACACATCCACTCTTCCATGTGCGAGCTGAGCTTTTGCACAAGTGCATCTATGGCAGTGTGGACACTCTTGTCCAAGAAAGTGCCGATGGCCATGTTAGCCATAGGGCTTTCTTGCTCAAGAAATTCATGTTGCCTATCTACACTGGCCTCTTGCGCAAGAATAGTTGCTCAAAAGGGCTTATTCCTGAATGGGAGCATCGTAGTTCTTGTGGAAGAAGCCCTGATTTCATACATGAGAACGTTAGTGTACTTGCGCAAGAACACACGGCCAATGTAGACAGGCAGCAAATTTTTGCACAAGAGCGCCGCTTTGGCGCAAGATCGTGCCAGTGTAGACACAGCCAAGGG